CAACAAAGAAGTTGATGGAATCAGTCAAATGTCAACCAAACAAGGAGGAATGTTTTTGAATCTTCAGGATGTTTATGTTTTGGTTTTTTTTTTTTTAAAGCGAAACATTCATCCGTGTTTGTAGATACATTGGCGCCACTCCATATCGTCAGGTAACGAGCAGGTAAGAAGATCACCTTGAAACAACAGTATTCACGTTCTCCCACTCGATGATGGGCAACGTGGCTGGCTCACGATCGGAAGTTGGTGTGCCCTAATCCCAGTCAGGTGTCATCCACGAGTCATCCGCTGCTCTGCGGGGTCAATATCTAGTGAGTTACCACGGTGTGGTCCTACGCAATGACTTATTCCCGCTGTGTTTACGCTTAGGGGCCGTCCATAAATGACGTCACGCACCTGGGGGGGGGGGGGTCAGATATTTGTGACGATGTGTGACGAGGGGGGGGGGGTGTTTGAGAAATGTGACGTCACATCAAAATGCGCAACTTTAAATAAATATAGACAACACGTTCTACTTAATTAAATAGACTTTTTAATAAATGTTTTCTCCTACAACATCAGAGTGCAGCAGCACATTAAATACGCACTATAATGACAATAGTTTAAAGCGATTTGAAGCATGTTTTATATATATTGGGGGGGGGGGGCAGAGCTTTGTGACGTCATATTTGAGGGGGGGTCTGACTTTTTGTGACGCCGTGTGACGAGGGTCAAAAATCGTCAAAAATCGCGTGACGCCATTTATGGACGGCCCTTTAAAGAAATTTAACTTAACAAAGCAAAATAAATATAACTTCTCATTTTGTCAGAGCATTATCGGGTATATAATACTGTATAGGGGGACATTTTGTTGATGTTTTTTTTCTATAAAAACATTCGATTTACTATTTTCTTTCCCATGCCAAGCGTATCGTCTGTATCGAGTCACAATGAAGACATGTCCGCTCAGAGCTTTCGCAGACCAGCGCGTCACCCCGTGTCATGGGATTTTACCCAGAAGATGACATCCCATAACTACCTCTGAAGTCAATTCACCTGTCCTACTGTAGCAACGAACTGCAATAAATACTCTTTAATCATGTGGTCAATCAAAATTGAAAATGTTAATTTCCACATCAGACACATATGATGGCGTCTCTATGCAGTCAGCGATAACTGGAGCTGAGACTATCAATTCACATCTGTTGATCATGGGTGGCCGAAAGTTGGATTTTAATCTCAAGGTCTCAACAGTCCTCTTACCACGGCATGAGCCTCTCTGAGACACCCAAGTAAGCCTTAAACATTACAACACATTTTTTTATTACTTAAAAGTCTCCGCTCTGTGCCACATGCTCCTATTTTACGTGTACAGTATTTATTTACAGATGATTGCGCACAATATACATTACGGGGAGAGAAAACGAACGTTGCCACCAATCCCCCCGTCGTGTTTGTTTGCGTTATTGTGGAGTTCATTTTGTTGTAACTTGAAACACTGGAACCCCCAGTTCCATGGAAACGTCGCTAATGAAATACATGCCGGGCTGTAACAAAAAAAACCCGTTGTAGGCTTTTTTTTATAATTGTTGTACAGCCCAGCACAGACTGTGTGGAATATGCGGGGCCCTTGAGTCAGACTGCCAATACAAGTGGTCAGGAATTTCAGCTTTTTTTCCACGACCTCATAGAGTTGAGGTTAGGGGCGGGGGGGGTCTCAGTTGTACCCCAGATCTTTCCCATAAAAAACCCCCAACTCTCTGCACTCGATTATACACCACATAACCCCACTCAAATCCAGATTCCCATGCAAACCATTCACCGCGTGACTCGCTAGAAAGTAGAAACTGCGCAGATTCGAGCTGCTGTTGCCGCACATCAGCTCTGCGGTGAGTTTTAATTATTACACGCTTTCTTTAAACTCACTCGGTTTGTTGTCGTATCCTCAAATCTTGTAACTCAATTTTAACCCACTTCCCAATGTGGTATCGACTGCAAACTTGGTATACTTATGTCATACTGATGACAATACTATATACTATCATAAAAATATATATTTTTTTGTAACATTATTTTTTATATGTTATGTTTCGGCTTCGGTCTAATTGACCACGGGCCCCTTACGTTATGGCAAGCTTCGGGGCCACTTCTTGGAGTCGTGGAGCTCTGCCATTACTAGTAGGGTACATTTCATAAAAGCGTGTTTAAAAAAAAGTTATTTTTTTTATATTACTTACTTGAGTTGCACTTTCACTGCGTGTCGATCGGCACGGCCACTGAAGTGTTGCTACGACGTTCCTCGAACGTAGCTCCCAGCACGCGGAGCGAAACGTCGGACATCGCGCCGAAGAACACGCGGTACAACCCGCGAAAATACAGACACACGTCGCGAGCCACTAAAACACAGTCACACTGTGACAATCACCTTCACATCAATCGTGCAGAACCGCTCTTTCAGTTTGTTTGTTTTTAGGTCGTTGCCACAAACATCATCGTCGTGATTATCATCTTAGCCACCATCACAATGGGAAAATAGCGATGACGCTTGGATTGTGAAGGGGATATTGAAGAGACAGGCGTTTGGTGGCTAACGATGGGATATGCAGTTCGGTAGGAGTAGCAAGGATCGGAGTCCTACCGCTCTTGCTTGCTCCCACACTGCTGCGTTCGCGGTGCTCCAGGACACCACGAACGGCACACGTTGAATGTCTTTCGCACCGTATGTAGCCAACCGTGCCCATTGGAGGTGTGGGGTAAAAACACACAAACTAAACACTAAAAGCAGTCCCACCCCCCCCCCCCAAAAAAAACGTATTTAAACTTGTACTGTAGTTCCATTTTTAGGGGCCGTCCATAAATGACGTCACGCGATTTTGGACGGTTTTTGACCCCCCCCCTCATCACACGGCGTCACAAAGTCAGGCCCCACCTCAAATATGACGTCACAAAGCTCTTCCCCCCCCCCCAACCATATTTACATTTTGAAAATAAAACATGCTTCAAATCGCTTTAAACTATTGTCATTGTAGTGCGTATTTAATGTGGTGCTGCACTCTGATGTTGTAGGAGTGTTATTGTAACAATTCTATATTTATTTAAAGTTGCGCATTTTGATGTGACGTCACATTTCTCAAACCCTCCCCTCCTCGTCACACATCGTCACAAATGTCTGACCCCCCCAAACGTGCGTGACGTCATTTATGGACGGCCCCTTCCATTGCCGTGTAAATAACGTCTATAAGTAACGTTGTGCTGTGTTGGGTAATACCAATACGATGCACAGCATCCACTCTGGCCCATGGACTAACCACACACAATTACAGCATCCCACTTGCAACCAGTACAGCATAGCTGGTACTTATAGACAGCAGAGCCTTCGGCAAGATCGTGCACCCACTGCCCAAAATTGCAAGATACATGGCAATGTAGTGTACAAGGTACTACCGCCCCCACATCTTCCTGTGTTTAACACGTGTTGCCTCGACCACTCCGTGTATTATTATTAACATTCGTCTTCAGAAGAAACTGCACCAGCTAACATGATGGACGCAGTACTAATTCATCTTCATCGCCACGAACACCGCCCAACACACCATCATTATCACCACCGGTCCTTACACATCGTTACCACGCCACCAGTATCATCATCATCACGGTGGCGAGGAGATGTTAACTCCCTCGCCTGGTGTGCAGGAGGTCGTGGCCTCGATCCCGACCCCCCCCCACCCCTTTGTCACACGACGTCACAAAAAGTCAGATCCCCCTCAAATATGACGTCACAAAGCACTGCCCCCCCAAAATAAAACATGCTTCAAATCGCTTTAAACTATTGCCATTGCAGTGCGTATTTAATGTGGCGCTGCACTCTGATGTTGTAGGAAAAAACATTTTTTAAAAGTCTATTTAATTAAGTGGAACGTGTTGTCTATATTTATTTAAAGTTGCGCATGTTGATGTGACGTCACATTTCTCAACCCCCCTCGTCACACATCGTCACAAATGTCTGACCCCCCCCCCCCCGCCCTAGATGTGTGACGTCATTTATGGACGGCCCCTTACCTGGTTAAAAAAAGTTATTTTAGTGATTAATTCATATAAATTAAACGAAATGTCTATGAATGAGGGGCGGGATGGGTCATGGCGGAAAGCAAGGCATATTTGATCGATACTGTGTTTACCGGATAACATAGAGGAACAACGTTGACTGTTTAATTTATATCGGGCCCGATATAACATTATATATAATCAATAAATAATTTTCTTCACCGCTGGCTGCACTTGGAAAGTTTCTAGATCCGCATCCGCCCCAAAGTGAAGCTGATACCGGTTTAATACAATTGCAGTCGTAGTATGATCACCACGGCACTGTATCATTATTCATACGTTACTTCTGCTAATTCTATAACATCCCAACTCCTTCCCTTGCCCCCTCCTCCTCCGTCTGGCCAAACACCTCCCTCCCACATCCCCCCACTAGGCATCACCTCCCTCCCCCCAGGTATCACCCCCCAGGCATCACCCCTCCCCCCAGGCATCACCCCACCCCCCAGGCATCACCCTACCCCCCAGGCATCACCCCTCCCCCAGGCATCACCCCTCCCCCCAGGCATCACCCCTCCCCCCAGGCACCACCCCACCCCCCAGGCATCACCCCTCCCCCCCGGCATCACCCCTCCCCCCAGGCACCACCTCCCCCCAGGCATCACCCTACCCCCCAGGCACCACCTCCCCCCAGGCATCACCCCACCCCCCCAGGCACCACCTCCCCCCAGGCATCACCCCTCCCCCCAGGCATCACCCCTCCCCCCAGGCATCACCCCTCCCCCCAGGCATCACCCCACCCCCAGGCATCACCTCCCCCCCAGCATCACCCCTCCCCCCCCCCCAGACATCACCCCTCCCCCCAGGCATCACCCCTCCCCCCAGGCATCCCCCCCCAGGCATCACCCCTCCCCCCAGGCATCACCCCACCCCCCAACCACAACGGCTCCACCCCCACACCCCCCCCCCCCACTCTCTCGCCGGCCACAGAACTTTCACGCACGGAGCCACCAGCACACAGCACAGAGAGAGAGAGAGGAGACCGCGTGTGGCTTGAGAGTTTGTGAGCTCGCTCGCTCGCCCGCCTCTCAGTGAGCATCAAGCCCACGGGGTGGTGGTGTGCAAGTCGGGGAGCGAGGGGCTGGGTGCGTGGTGTCGTGGTGGTGGTGCTGGTGGAGTTGTCACAGGCGACCAAGGGGCTTGCGGCGCGCAACGCTGAAGTGGGATCTGATGGCCGCTCTCAAAGTTCCCGTCGTGTTGCTGGCGACGCTTTTTGCCCTCGCCTGCGGTGCCTTCTCGTCGGCCGCCGCTGGAGTACAACAACAACGACGCCGTCTCCCCCTCGCCCCCACGCGTCGTCTCGGCTGCTCGCTGATATGCGGCGCTGATGGCGAGGAGGTGAGACCCGGGGTGGTGGTGGAACGTGGTGGTGGTGGTGGTGGAACGTGGTGGTGGTGGAACGTGGTGGTGGTGGAACGTGGTGGTGGTGGAACGTGGTGGTGGTGGTGGAACGTGGTGGTGGTGGAACGTGGTGGTGGTGGAACGTGGTGGTTGAGGAACGTGGTGGTGGTGGTGGTGGAACGTGGTGGTGGAACGTGGTGGAGGAACGTGGTGGTGGTGGAACGTGGTGGTGGAGGAACGTGGTGGTTGAACGTGGTGGAGGAACGTGGTGGAACGTGGTGGTGGTGGAGATCGCTTCGGCGGAGGGGGGGGTCCCGGAGGAAATATTTGCTGCCAGTGTTGTTGCAATGTTGTTGTTCTTGTTGTTGGGTTGTTTTCTCTCCTTTGGCACGCGGCAAGAAGCTCACGCGACTTGTTGCGGACTTGTGGACACGTCTTGTGTGTGTGTGTGGGGTGTTAAGGAGTCGGCATCATCAGATTACTGTTTCATATCAGGTTTACGGCATATATATAAAACATGCGGTACTGTAGATATCAGTTTACCGTGTAATGCTTGGCGATAATTTCTAAATTGTCTCGTTAAGCAATTCCTCGTGCATTTCAAGGATATTATATCGGTTAACTGTGGTTAATATGCGGTAACGTGGTGGCTTATCTCGTTAACATGTTTGCGACTTTTAAGAAGGGTCTGCCTGGCGATTATGTCTAGCGACTTTTTAAAAATTCTATTGTTGACGCCGCTTTGAATGAGTTAACGTCTGTGTCTTGGGAGGATACGGACACTCGGATTTCACTCAATTCTGTTCTTGCGTGCGATGGCGAGATGTTAACTACTTCACCAGGTATACAGGAGGTCGTGGGTTCAATCCCGACCCAGACGCCTGCTGCTGTATATTTGAAGTTTGCGTGTCTCTCTCTCATCATCATTATCACGGTGGCTATGAGATGTTAACTACTTCGCCTGGTGTACAGGAGGTCGTGGCTTTGATCCCGACCCAGACGCCTGCTGCTGTATATTTGAAGTTTGTGTCTCTCTCCTCGTGGTCCCGTGGATTTTTCTCCAGGTCCTACGGTTTTCCCTCCTCCACATTTATAATCAACATCACGCGTTCAGAGAATAATTTGGCTGCTATAAATTTCCAACACGATGAGCCACTTTGCTGAGCTATCGCTTGTGTGGGCCAGGTCGCATCTGAAAAAAAGCGCTGACATATCTCAGTGGGCCTTACTTGGTTAAAATAAAAAAAAATACTTATAGTTAGATCACATGTACAGAAGCTAGATGCCAATGTCGAGGTCTATTCCCGATGGTGAGAGAAAGATTTCGTGTAGATGTTACCCATTTCTCCTCCTTTGAATGAGCGTGGTGGACTAACTAAATTTATTTTACTATATAATGCGACTCTAAAGTTCGTGTTGCATGGCCACATTCGCATCACTGTGGCTCGTGGTTTTAACTTACGGGAGCTCGCTTAGAACATGGGCCACAAGACGGTGGGTGGCATGAGCCGATGGATGCGACACGCGGAGAAGAGCTGTGTGTAACTCGGGGTGAGACGCCGAAATAATGTGGAGTGGCGCCGAGCTGTCAAGCCCGATAGTAAAATGCTCATCGGCAAGTGCGAGTTGTCTGGCTCGAACTTTAAACACGCGTGTTTAGGATTTTTGTTTATTCGTATTGCATGGGCGAGGAGAGACATTCCGTGATCAACCTCCTTTATATACATTCACCGAGAACTTCTCAGCATCGTCGTCGTGAACGAGCTGAGAAGTCGAGTAAGTAATGGTCAAGAATATTTGTCAAGAGTTTTGGCAAACGAAATGGAGCGGCATCTCCCCATGGTACGCTCACCGGGGGATGAGATGAAGCGATGAAATCAGCCCTTGTGTGTGTATATATGTTGGACTTCTTTCGCACCGTACATAGACAACCGTGTTAATCGGAGGTGTGCTGGGGGGGGGGGGTAGACAACAAACTAAACACAAAGCAGTTCTAAATAAATTAGTTTTTCATCTGTGTGCAGATACTAAGTGGACTTACGCCGCAGAACAGTCAGATATGTCGATGTCTTAGGGGAGGGCCTTCATCCAGCAGTTGAAAGATCATAGCCGACTGTATTGATTGTATCGGTGTATTGGCCAGAGAGGGGTAATGTGAACCTGCAGCATTTGCTTTGAATAAACGGATTCGTCCAACTCTGGGGCTCATCAGCACACTCAAACGTGCTTCACAAACAATGCTGGTAAGTTCGTAGAGACGCGCACGTGTGACGGTGATTGAGGACCCCTGCAATCGACATGGGTCGATTGCAGGGGTCTTCAACCTGTGACTCTTCATCAGGACTGCTACTTCGTGGCGTTATGTATTATGGACCCCCCCCCCCCCCTACCTACCGTCTCGTATTCACCACACAGTGCATTGTGGCTCTTGAACTATTGAGGTTTTGTTTTTGATACCGGTTTATGGACCATTTTCAGGAGGCGGGTCCTGCAATTGGTGTTGTGGTGTGAGGGGGGGGGGGGTATTTGGCCAGTGACTTCTCAGACTACCGAGTTGTTATTACACGGTGCGGCAGGAAATATTGGAACTCAAAACGCATACGAAGGCGTTGTGACACACACACACATACACACATATACACACAACGTTGCCAAATGAACGGGCTCACGAACAAAAAAAACAACTTTGCTCTACTGAAATTTAATGGCCACATTTTAGGAGGCGTTCAAAAATCAAGTGACATTGATCACAAAAAAAATCCTCGCAGGCTGTGTGCGGGTAAACCCGTGTCTCCGACAATGTTGTTGACGGCTATTTTATTGTTATTGCTATTGTTGCTGTTGTTGTTTAGCCAAACAAATCTCAGGCTTCGTTACAAATCACGGCCGGTGAGGAATCTCACAAGTACAACAGTGACTGTTGCTGTGTACTATTGTATAATAATATCATCAGACGGGACAATAATTAATAAGAACAGGTGTTTTTTTTCCCACACTTCAGGCAATTAAAAAAAAACAGGTGTTAAGATTGTTCAGACGCCACGTGGGATACACCGATTTCAAGGCACCAACGTCTCCATTCACCACCACACGTGTGGAAAAACGTGCAAACAAATACGTTCTTATAATTGTATTACAAAAACATAGTTTTGTTTGTTTGTTCCTGGGTGGTAAGTGTTATTTTCTAATTGCGTATGCCTTAAAAGTACAAAAAAATGACTTATTCCCCATAAACTTTACTTTTGTGAGCAGGACAGTGATATTTATAAATTTACCTATTTTCAATAAGAAAACGTGTGCGTTTGTGTAATTCCTTAACATAAAGTCCTGGTCACAAAAAGCAAAGTTTGTGAGAAATAGCCATTTTTTGAACTTTTAAGGCATAAGCAATTAGAAAATAACACTACCCAGGAACCAAAATCGTGTTTACATAGTGTAATTATTATATACGATGGTATTTCTGTTATTTGGCTGTTGGAGCCATCCTTAACACCTGTGTGTTGTAATAAAGGTAAAAAAGGCTATTCTAAATGTTTTGTCCCATCGCTTTAATATTTTTAGCTATCAACAAAAAAAGGTCCCGAAGATTTAAAAAAAACTGCAACAATTATTCGCCGGAGTTGTGGCTTTGCTTGTTGATAATCTGGCTATGTTGTGGACAGTATAGTATGCACGGTGTACATATATTTATTATAATAACGCTTTGTGGTGTATCGGGCAGCCAGTGGCTTAGCGAGTTCAAACCCACCTTGCACTCTGGACCATTTCGGTCGGCGTTGTGAGTTTTACCAAGTTAGACAAGTTACTTTGTCTCGAGACTAAAGTCGACAGAGCCACGGCGTGTGGCTCTACTCCCCGTGTCTATCTCCTTGCAGACAACATTTACACACACACAGTATGTTCTCGATACACATTCCGCTTTAGATAATGCCCGTGATGTCACCGCCTTTGTCTAACAAACAACGTTTGTCTGCATACATGGTGTATATACGTTACGTATACCGTGCATGTGTATAATACCACAATATCGCCACTGGGGAGACAAAGGCGGCCGGGCGTGGTGTTGGCCACCCACGACCTCGTGTGCCGTGCCGGCCTTTATAGGTGCTCGCCCACAGCACTTGGCCCCAACATTCTGTTAAGGCTACACGGGGGATATTTGTCTTTGTTGTGTTGAGGCCGGTACGGGGTGGGTGGCCAGCACCACGCCCGGCCGCCTTTGTCTCCCCAGTGGCGATGTATACTACACACCACGCCGGGGACTCATTTTGAGGCTGAGTCGACCTAGGGGAGGGCCCAGGACCGGTTCAGATAATCGTCACCCGGTGTGTTGGTGGTAGGGCAAATCGCAAAGGCTGCGATTTTTTTTCGATTTGAAAAGTCCTATTACTTTCTTATTGTAATTGTTTATTTTTATTATTTCAACTTTGTTTAACTTAACAATTGTTCTATGTTTGATTGTTTTATTTCAATTAAAACATTTTAATAAAAACATGTTGTAAGCAATTAATCTATTTTAAGTTCTCACCTTTGCATCAGCATATGTAGAGCAGTTCACATTTTGATGGTATCACGTGGTAATGCCCCATCACATGTTTTAAATCGATTACATAGTGAATATTGAACTGAAGCTTGACTTAAACAAATTTAATCGCAAATCAAATCGCAATATCTGTCAGAAAAATCGCAATTAGATATTTTCCCCAAATCTTTCAGCCAGCCCTAATTGTTTAAGGGCGTGAGCGGGAGTCGAACCGGGGTCGCCGGGTTCATAGCGTGGCGCACTAACCGCTGCGCCACCGCTCCCCGTGCCGTGTGGCGGTTGGTGCCGTGTGGCGGTTGGTGCTGCGCTGCGCCACCGCTCCACGTGGGGGTCACCGGGTTCATAGCGCGGCGCGCTAACCGCTGCGCCACCGCTCCCCGTGCCGTGAACCCGGGCGACCCGAGTTCGATTGCCGCTCACGGCCAACAACGGCGGTGACGATTATCTGAACCGG